CTTAACGTAAAAAAGTAAACGTACAACTAACTATTAATTACGTAGTTGTTAGTTAGTAAATAACTACCCTAATACTATTAATAATTATATAGTCTTTGAATTCCAGTGTTTAAGTTTTGATTGATGTTGCATGCTAAGACCTACCTTTAGGACTTCAGTTTAGCAGTAGAACACCTGCATTGTTTTATTGCCACTAATATTAGTTTACATTTATTTTAGACATAATTAATTAATAATTATATATAATATTGTGGTATATTCAAGTGATTCTGAGTTAATATGAATCTGCTTAATAACAGATATATGATTTATATAGTAGTACTGAATCTTTGAGAAACTGAGTTACTGAATGAAATAAAGAGAATAGATACAATGTAAAATCAAAGTAAATAATATTTATGTATTTACAAATCCAAACTAATTGTAATGTAATGCATATGTAATGTGCAAGGACAGGATGACTAGAAAACACTTGCTTATTAGGTAGACATTTCACCCTAAGTAATGTGCAAGGAGAGGATGTCTAAGGAAATGCTGGCTTACTAGGTAGACATTTCACCATATGTAATGTACAAAGGGAGGATGTCTATGAAATGCTGGCTTACTAGGTAGACATTTCACCATATGTAATGTGCAAAGAGAGGATGTCTAGGAAATGCTGGCTTACTAGGTAGACATTTCACCATATGTAATGTGCAAAGAGAGGATGTCTAGGAAATGCTGGCTTACTAGGTAGACATTTCACCATATGTAATGTGCAAGGAAGATGTCCAGGAAATGCTGGCTTACTAGGTAGACATTTCACCATATGTAATGTGCAAAGAGAGGATGTCTAGGAAATGCTGGCTTATTAGGTAGACATTTCACCATATGTAATGTGCAAGGAAGATGTCCAGGAAATGCTGGCTAGGTAGATGTTCCAACATACAGTAAAATTCATATTAGTGAGATATTGGACTGCCGAAATGCAGATTTTTTTTCTGACACAACATAATAATATTTCCTTTACTTTTCTGAATAATTCCACTATTTTTTAACTGTGAAATCATATTTTTGTTTTCACTGTATTACCCCATTTCTCGTAAAAGTATAATTAGTACAATAATGCATCATCATGGTAGTACATTACCCCAACACTAATGATAGGATAACTAGTAAACATTGGACTATTAAATATAAATTTCAACATGTATAATGTGTTGTGTAAGGTAAGACATAAGAACACATATTTAATGTAGTATGTCAGTATTAAAAGATGATAATTATATAAATATATTTAATATGGTATGGAAATATTAAAAGGCTGTAATTATGTTAATATATTTAATATAGTATGTCAGTATTAAAAGACTAATTATCTAAACATATTTAATACAGAATGAATTAAAATACATTATGTAAACATAGTTAATGTGATATGTTAGTATTAAGAGTCTGTATTATGTAAAAGAAATTTAAAAGATATATATAATAAGCACTATAAAGTAAAGTAAAGGAGTTTGTATAATTTTGATTCTTGTGTAGTACCTTTGATTTGTATCTGTTTTCTGTACATTTTAGCAAGTTGAATGTTTTATTTGTAGTTTTTTATTAAAGTGCTATGGCTGCATTTGTGTAATTGGGAAACATTTATTACAATTTGATTATGGTTAAAGAAGTGTTAAGTTTCAAACTCAACATAAGTTAAAACATTTCTAGGAAGTGTTTGATTTATAAAAACTTCTCTTCAGTATCACATGTCACAAGGTAGGCGATGAAACATATCTGTACATAGTTTCACAAGTTATAACAAACTGGTATGAATTCTTTACATAAAACATCCAGTATTCCAGCTTCTTTATTTCTCACAACTTGCAGCTGGCAGAAGCTTAGGCAGCAAGTTTATTGACCTAGTCACTACACTACAAAATTCACTGAATGACAAGGAGAAGACGCTTCAAAGGAGACTAAAAGAACCATTTCCTCATGACCTGGATACTCTAGATACACATGTGATGGAACACAAGGTATGTTCATCTCTAGCTTTATCAAACTTTTGTTTATGAATCAAGATTCAGGAAAAAAGGTTGGAGTAGAATATCATATCAGATGTAAAGATAGCATAAAATGTTTATTGTGATTCTTGTTTACAGTTACTCAAAATATCTAAGAATCTGCCAGTTATTTTTATGAAGTAGTTATACTCAATGGATTATTACTTACATAGCATGGGAATATATTAAATAGTGACAATTTATGAATTGTTACTTACACAGCAAGGAAATATCTGAAATAAACTGTAATATTTTGTTTATGAATCAAGATTCAGGGAAAAAGGTTGAAGTAGAATATCAAATGTTGACTAAACTAGTTGACATGTGTTGACTAAACTAGTGTCATGGATACTATAAGGAGTTGGATGGTGCTTTTAAATCAGTTGTTCTTTTTTAGCTTGAAATTTCTGTAAATCATAATGTTATTAATTGTGACTAAGGAGTTGAATAGTGCTTTTAAATCACTTGTTCATCTTTAGATTGAAATCTCTGCAAACTATGATAATCTTTCTGGTTTATGTTAATATTAATTGTTGAGTTGTTCAGATTGTACTTAATGAATTGTGCTGATTTAAATAAATTTGCTTATAACTTACTGTCTGGATAATTATGTTTGGGTAGGAATTTGAGACAGCTTTAAAGGTTCTAGAACCCCAAGTGAAAGAGATGAAGGACCAGTTCCAGTCCATGGTAAAAAAATCCCCAGTATTGCAGAATCATCATGATACTGTGATAGAGGTTTGGGAGAGAACTTGGGCTACTTCCCATCTTTACATTGAAAGGTAATTTCAGGGGACTTGTAAAGTAAGGTCCTTGTGACATATTCTGCTTCATAAAACTCATCTTTGATCTGTTTTACATTGAAGTGTACATCAAGAACATAATGACTATGTTAGAGCTAGTTTTGTGTGTCTTGAAATAAATATGCTGTCAATTTTAGTATTTATGTTTTATATAAAGTATATAGCTATCCACTGTGGATGAAAATAACGTTTTTTTGTTTTGAAACTGAACCTTGCATTAATAAGCCATGTCAAGTTAGCAAAGTACACTATTCACATTAATTATCATTCACTGCCTTGCTAGTGTGAATGTTGGCAAAAACATACGCTCAACCTTATTACAACACAGCAATTTGTTAGAAGATTTCTTTTGAGATAGAAAAATCACAGATCAACCAAACTGAATAAAAATGTAGAAAAGGATCCTATAATCTTTTATCATCCTATTTGGATGATGTTGTGTACTTATGTACCAATACCTTGTAATAAGTAATTACATGTGGAAAAACAGAGGTATTTATTAACTATGACTAAAGGAGTCTTCAACCAGTTCGTTTTTAGATTGAAATTCCTGGAAACTCTACTGTTATTAACTATGACTAAAGAAATTGAATGGTTCTTTCAGATCAATTGTTCGTATTCAGATTGAACTCTCTTGAAATCATACTGCCAATAACTGCTTTTAAATCAGTTGTTCTTTCTAAGCTTGAAATTTCTGTAAATCATAATGTTATTAGTTGTGACTAAGGAGTTGAATAGTGCTTTTAAATCACTTGTTCATCTTTAGATTGAAATCTCTGGAAATCATACTGAGTTCCCTAGATGAAGCCACAAATGTTGTAACTCAGGTGGAGATCCAGCTTGCAAACTATGATAATCTTTCTGCAGAAAGGACAAAACTTAGTGAAACTCATGACCAACTAATGGTGAGTAAAATGTTAAGAAGCAAAGTGATTATTAATTGTGTATCATAATGATATTTATTATTATTAGTTCTGTGAATATCTTGTGTTTTACTAATAACTCTAGGAATAATTGATTACTAATTTCATATCATAATCATGCATTGGGTAAATAGTTTTGGGGAATATTTGGTACATTCCACTGGTCAAGTGTTAATATGATATCATTATTCTGGAAATATCTGGTACATTCAAGTGGTCAAGTATTAATATGATATCGTTATCATTATTCTGGGAAAAACGAATATTCATTGTACATCATTATCTTCATTTTGGGAATACTTGATATGTTAAAGTGGTTAAGTATTCATTGTACATCATTATCTTCATTTTGGGAATACTTAATATGTTAAAGTGGTTAAGTATTCATTGTTCATCATTATCTTCATTTTGGGAATACTTGGTATGTTAAAGTGGTTAAGTATTCATTGTACATTATTATCTTCATTTTGGGAATACTTGGTATATTAAAGTGGTTAAGTATTCATTGTACATCATTATCTTCATTTTGGGAATACTTAATATGTTAAAGTGGTTAAGTATTCATTGTACATCATTATCTTCATTTTGGGAATACTTAATATGTTAAAGTGGTTAAGTATTCATTGTACATCATTATCTTCATTTTGGAAATACTTGATATGTTAAAGTGGTTAAGTATTCATTGTACATCATTATCTTCATTTTGGGAATACTTAATATGTTAAAGTGGTTAAGTATTCATTGTACATCATTATCTTCATTTTGGGAATACTTAATATGTTAAAGTGGTTAAGTATTCATTGTACATCATTATCTTCGTTTTGGGAATACTTGGTATATTAAAGTGGTTAAGTATTCATTGTATATTGTAATCTTACTTCTGTAAGTTTTCTTAATAATTCTTGTACTATTTGGTACACTGCTATTATTGGATATTTAACTATATATCATAATCATATAATTATGTTAATAATTCTTGTACTATTTGGTACACCTTGTAATGTTGTAATTGTGTTGATCAATATATTAATAGTTGCTGGTAAAATAATCCTTCTTCTAGAGTTTGAGGACCTAAGAAAGGTCTTAAGTATATTTTAAATTTCATTATTTTATTTATAGAAACTTCAAGACCTAAAGTTTTACAATATTTTGTATATTCATAAGTGATTAATTAATTTCTAGAAATTGCAAGAGGAAATACAAAATGGACAAACTGTGATTGATAAAATCAGTATTGACCTGACCAATATTCAGCGTTTAACGGAGTGCACTCGTCCGAAAAAAGTACAAAACCCTGATGTCAAGAAACTGGAAGTCGATGTCAAAAAGATCATAAAACGATGGAATAACGTGTGCTCACAAGTTGTGGAAAGGTGATTTTTTTATTCTTCAATTACCTAAATTGTGAGTAAAAGTTCAGTAGAACTTTGCTGATTGTTTAATTTCTACTTCTGTTGAAGAATCACAAGTGTTTCCTTTATCCATAGCATAATCTCATTTTCAGCTTTACCAATCACTTTGAAGGATGTTACCACATCAGAATACTAGGTGATTGCTTAAAAAAACTCTTATACTACATTCTACATGCACTAGGTGAATATTATGTGGTCCCATCCCCCAAAATATTCAAAGTGATCAGTAAAACTAAAAACAAGACCATGCTACAGGTGAAAGAAACATTTCTGATTCTTCAAAGAGGCTGAAGTTAAACAAGAAAGCAAAGCGATCTGAACTCTTACTCAAAGTTTGGGTGATTGAATTTTATTTAAACTATCATTTTCTATTGTGTAATTTTTTAATCTGAGTTTTTGATTCTAGGTTTTTGGTTAATTAAAGTGTTGTATCGTTATTATTTTTTTTATTTCTCAGGCTAAGAAGTTGTGAAGCAGCTTCTGAACTTCTTGTGGCATATCGAACCAAACTGGACAAAGATGAGCAGCCATGGATGACCCAGATGACCACCCGAGTCAAGAAACTCAAACCAATCAAATCAGTAACTCCCCAAGAGGCTGAGAAACAGATTCATGATACTTTGGTATGCTATCCATCTAAACACATATGTTGATATAGCATAACATAACATAAAATTTAAGGATGACAAGTGATATGTTGGTACATCTAGCTTATCCCATCCATTAAACTTAAAGGAAAACAAACCTCAAAGCCATTCCTTATCATTCAAATATTTATCAAGCCTTTTTTAAACTTCCTTAAACATATTGCTTCTATCAAATCTGAAGGTAACTAATTTCAAAGGCGAACCACCCTATTAGTAAAATAAAACTGTCTGAACTGAAAATTACTCCTAACTATCCTGCCAAAATTAATATATGTCCTCTAGTCCTACCAACTTTTCTTTGTGAGAGAAACACATACAGTTTATTTTATAATAGTCATTCCAAGTCCCTTGATGTTATATGATGTCAGGAAAGGGTTTGACCATTTTTAACATTTCTTTTATGTTCTGCGAGTCTTGTATCTAAATTTCTACCCCTTTCACCAACGTAAACTTCGTCACAAGACTGACAGGGATCAATTCCTCTCTGCCGTATATGTACGGAATACCTAAAACCCACAAAGATGACTGCCCTCTTAGACCTTCAGTTTCCAATGTGGGATCAGTTACTTATCAGCTATCCAAATGGCTGGCACAACAATTATCTCCTGCTCTAGGAAAGTTCTCATGGTCACACTTTCTAAATAATATAGGCTTTGCCAATAAAATAAAAACTGTAACATAAATGAAGCAAAAATGGTCAGTTTTGAGTGGCTATGGGAAACCCTTTGTCCCTGATTTTATGTAACATCTTCATGAGGTATTTTAAAAGTGAATTACTTTCTACAGTGGATCTGCATTAAAAGAAAATCGCTTGGTTCTGATATGTTGATGACATATTTTCAGTTTGGCTAAATAACAGAAGTGATTTTCAAGCTTCTTTCCAGAGGATAAACAAGTTTCACAGTACACTCAAGTTGAGAGTGGAATGGAAAATGAATAATTCACTCCAACTTTTAGAATTCTCATAACTTGAGAAGTAACAGGGCTTGTTCTATCAATCTATAGAAAACTAACAAACCCTTTAAGCTATATTCACTTTTTCTTGTGCCACTATGAAACAGTTAAAACATATATTGTGACTTCCATGTTTCTAAGAGCCTTCAGAATTTTTCATCACATGACTCTTGATGAAGAAATCAAAAACCTTTACACAATCTTCAAATGGATATAATATCCTATGGGTTTTATCAAAAATGCCCATCATAAGGCAAGGAAGACATTTTGTAGGAACAATAGCCAACAAACAGCATCATTTACATATAAAAATAAGAAGAAAATACTCAGCATTAACTACAGTTCTAATATTGTGGCTCTAGAGAAATGTCTCAAAAATAACAATTTCTAAGCTGTTTATAAATATCCAAACACCATTAACAAGTCTGCACCTTGAAATAAAGAACAAGGAGTCTGTATAGTCCCCTGTCAGTCTTGTGACAAAGTTTATGTTGGTGAAACGGGTAGAAATTTATATACAAGACTCGCAAAACATAAAAGGATTTTAAAAAATTGTCAAATAGATAATGCAATTTTTCATCATATGAGAAATCTTGATCATACAATTAACAGGAAATAAGCCAAAATGATTCATAAAACTAGAAATTATGTCAAAAGAAGAATTGTATAAAGTTTGTTACTTCAACATTTCAGAAGATCACTATAAACTGAACCCTTTACTGACATCATATAACATCAAGGGACTTGGAACGACCGTTATAAAATAAACTGTATGTGTTTCTCTCACAAAGAAAAAGTTAGACTGAAGAGAACACGTGAAAGTATTAAAATTTGTTTCCTTATAAACTTCTCGTTCTGACGATAGTGGATGTAAACTTTATTTTACATTACTCTACATGGTGTTGTGTATTTACTTGCTATCAAAATTTCAGAGATCTTGATCTGTCCTCATATAAAGAATCTTTCCCTTCCAAGTATCCTCCTAGTGGTCCCCCTCTGTACCCTCACCAATAATACAATGTCCTCCCTTACATAAGGAGCCCAAAACTTAACATAATACTCCAAATGTGGCTTAACTAGTGACGTATTATTCCAGCTGTTTAAAGATACTAGATGCAGATATATGTGCAAACTGTTACGATAATCATTTTGTACCTTTGTTATGAGCAGTTTGGGGAGTAGATCAGCTAACCTTTATATGTCATTGAATACTATTTAACCCTAATAACAATTTAATGTTTGTCATTCCAAGAATTTAAAATTTAAATTTAAAAAAAGGAAAATATTAATGTTTCCAAGATATACTTAAAAATAAAAACTTCTGTAAGTTTATGTATCGAAACAGTAACTTGTCAGTTAACATGACTAAACATAACTCCATTATTCAAATGTGTTTTCAAGCAGTTTACAGTTGACATTAGACCTATTCCAATAATGCAGTACACTGGGTAATATTAGTTGACATCCATAATACTGTACTTGCCCTTTAGTTAAAAAGAAAATGATGCAATCAAGAATGTTTAGTCACATGTAATAAAAAGATGGCTGCTACAGTTGAGACAGGCAAATAATGGAGTGCAAAGTTATTAGTTATTTACAATATTTTTCACATAATGTTTAATCTCTGTAAGGCAAGCCAAAGACTTGACTTATAGAAGTTAAACATATGACATCTAATTCTGTGTTATTCATACACCACATGAAGTTGTAAACTGCTCTGCCTTTTTGTTTACATAGGAACTCTATAACACCTTAGCTCAAAGAAAACCATCAATAGAACATACCAACATCTTGGGAGGAAGGTATATTCGAGAAGCCAAGGTAAGATTTTAATATTATGACTCTTTGGTTTTGAAACAGACCAACACCTTGGGAGGAAGGTATATTCAAGAAGCCAAGGTAAGATTTTAATATTATGACTCTTTGGTTTACAAACAAACCAACACTTTGGAAGGAAGGTATATTCAAGAAGCCAAGGTAAGATTTTAATATTATGACTCTTTGGTTTACAAACAGACCAACACCTTGGGAGGAAGGTATATTCAAGATGCCAAGGTAAGATTTTAATATTATGACTCTTTGGTTTACAAACAGACCAACACCTTGGGAGGAAGGTATATTCGAGAAGCCAAGGTAAGATTTTAATATTATGACTCTTTGGTTTACAAACAGACCAACACCTTGGGAGGAAGGTATATTCAAGAAGCCAAGGTAAGATTTTAATATTATGACTCTTTGGTTTACAAACAGACCAACACTTTGGAAGGAAGGTATATTCAAGATGCCAAGGTAAGATTTTAATATTATGACTCTTTGGTTTTCACTTCAGCTATGAGAATAATTGGTCTAAATAAGGGTATTTAAAATTCATAATTTTGATACGAGAAGCTTTGAATTTAAGTGTATGAATAAAACAACTGTGATTTGGTTCTAGAAAAGTATTCAACATTCAGTTAGTTATCTTATATACATTTGCTGCTGTTGTACAAACCTTTTTTGATTTTGGAGTTAATGACACATTAAGCTAATTATTTTACAAAGTGTCCTTTTTTGTACATGATATTTGTCATTACTTTCATTTTTACAGATATATGACTTACGACTAAAACATTATAGAGATAGTCTAGAAGAGGTTCATCCAAGTTTAGATGCTAGCATTTCCAAGAAAGCAAAAATTGTGGTTGGTGCCAATGTCATTAGCCAAGAACTTGACATATTAAATAAGCAGTACACTGAACTGGTTGATAAAATTCTACAGCACTTAAATGACTTACGAGAGTTTCTTTCAGGACAAAAGGACTACAAGGTGAGAAAGTTTCTTTTTGTACCTGAAGTGCCTTTGTCTCTTTTTAACAGTCAGAATTAAGTTCTAATCTTTTTCTAATGTGTAAATGTTAAAATCAAATAGCAGCTTTCAGTCTGTGATCTCTACATTTCACCTTTACTTATTTATTATTTCTTGCAAGTTTGTTTTTTAAACTCACAGAAATGACTTTTTCTTAACATATTGTTTTAACACACTTCATAAATCCTGGTATGAATAAGAGACATTATACCCTTTGACATTATGACACATAGATTAGGTTGTTGAAAAATCACTAAGATGAGAGAAGAAATTAAAATATTTATACTTACATATAGCCTGAAATGTTGCATCAACTTTATGGAAATATAAATATTTTAATTTATTCTATCTTTTTGGCTAATCTTCAACAGCTTAATCTAAGTCTTTATTATTTTCACTATATCTATTCTTTGGTTTACATCTTTCCTTAAACATTAAATTGATCACATATTTCACCAGTGCTACTTAAGTGGTTTAATATATAGATAACATACAAAGTATTATGACATATATTAAGTTGAAACAGATAAAGTGTATAATTTGCTCATTTCCATTGTTTAAAATTCTTGGAAAGATAAACCTAATACAAATAATTTACGATAGAATTATAAATTGCAAAAAAGTCAATTTATGAATAATTGCAATAGCATATAATATGTGATGTGATTTTAACATTTTACAACAATATTAAGTAAACAGCGTAATCTGAAACAGAAATAATATAAGCTAGCCATAGGTTATATGCCTCTAATTTACCAAACCCATTAAAATTTTAATTCAAGTTGATCAGTTATTGTAATGGATTTTCCTATCACCAGAAGGTTGTATGAATTTAAAAAGTTTTGAAATAAGTGTACCCATGTATTTTTAGACAATTTTAATAAAACTGGATTGAAGATATGATGAAAATATTTAGTATAAATATGTCACTTTATCATTTAGGCCTTTTTTTTTTTCATGACTGTCACACATATCTCAGTATGTAGTAATATTAGAAGGTGAGTTTCAACACATCTCTTACTGTACTGTATGTAATGGGTATTTTCTATACAGGTTCTTACCTGATGTTTTTCTATGAGATTTTTCACCCTTTCTTTCTATCTCTACTTGTTCATAGTGTTCCATCACTATCGGCCATGCTGTCCCCATCGCTCTTCGTTCTTTCCGCTCTGAAGTAATCATGAATCAGGCTTCGATACAGGAACAAATGGATGGCACATATAACCCTGTCCAGGAAGTTTGTACCACTCTTACACACACAACACAGGATAAAGTTACTCCTGAAAAAAGAAAAGAAATTCAGAAATATTTCACCACAGGCAAAAGACCTTCTGCAGTTTCAGTACAGCAGGAAACTATGCAAAAGCATAGTGAAGATTCATTCTCTACCCAGAAGTTAACTGGCACATCTGTGACAAGTAAAGAAATCAGAAGTACAAGACAGGTAAAACAAACTGGTGACACTGAATGCATAGCAACTGCAAGAGGAATTATCAACTCTAAAAAATGGCGAGCTACTGACAATGGCTGAAGCCATAATGCTAGGTATTTTGGATATTAAGACAGGCCAATATAAAGATTTCCAAACTGGCAAACACATGAGCCTCCAAGATGCTATTTCCAAAGGACTGGCTAATGATGACTTTGTGAATAACATTACAAAAGCATGTGGTATTATTGATATTAAGACAGGCACAGAACTAACATTGATTCAAGCTATTGAAAAAGGTTTATTTGACCCTGATAAAGGTACATTTCTTGATCCAAAGAAAAGAAAACCTGTAACAATTGATGAAGCTATCCAGTTAGGTATACTCAAAAAAGACAAGGTACAGAAATTGTTTGATATGAAAATTGTTAAAATGTCTAAGTTAACAATAACAGAAGCTGTACAGAAACGATTATTGGATACTCAAACAGGACAATTCAAAGACCCTAAGACTAACCAGAGTATGTCATTGAATGAGGCCTTTGATAAGGAGTACTTAGAAATTGATGCTTCTGTACATAGTGAGGGTGGTATTTCACTAGCAGAGGCCTTAGACAGAGGTATGGTGAATGAAAAGGCAGGACTGATAGTAGATAAGGAGTCGGGAGAAAGATTTACTATTGACGAGGCAACCAGACGAGGTATTATTCGATGTGATGTCCGTGAAGTAGTTAACATGCAATCTGGTGAAATCGTGAATGTTCCTCAATCCATTTTTCAAGGTGTAATTAATGCTCAGAGTGGAAGATACATCAACAAGGCTACCCAGGAATGTCTTACTTTACAGCAAGCCTATGATAAACAGTTCATCTTAAGACCATTAACACTGAAAGATGCCTATGAGCTAGAGCTGTTAGATGAGACAGGAAAAGTGACAAATCCAATCACTAAACAAAAACTGACAATACTTGATGCCATTGCAAAAGGAATTTTAAACACAGAAGTTAAGTCTATCATTCATCCAAAATCTGAAGAGTTACTAACTTTACCAGAAGCTTTAAAAAGAGGTGTTCTTACTTCAGATGGACAATTTGTTGACTTCACAGGAGAAACAATCAGTCTTAGTCAAGCTGTTAACAAAGGCCTCATCACATCTGTTTGTCACAAAATGATATTTGACATTGAAGGCATCAAGAACCCTATTACAGATAATGACATAAGTTTTAATACTGCAGTGAGCAAAGGTTTTATTGATTTGAAAATTGGAAAATTCAAAGATACCACAAAAGGAGAAACTATGACACTGGAGGAAGCAACTACCAAAAGGTTTATCCAGCCTCAAGTTGCAGAAATGATGAATCAAAAAATAGGACTAAAAGATAACAAAGGAAAGGAACTGACTGTTTTTCAAGCTGTAATTAAAGGGTTGCTTGATCCTAAAACAGGGCAAGTAAGAGAGCTAAAGACAAAAAAACCAGTTCCTCTAAAAGAGGCTGTAGAGAAAAAAATAATTACCCCAGAGGGAGCAGCTGTCTTGAAGAGCTTGCTCAATATTACTGTAACAATGGCAACAGTCACCAAGACAGTAACTCGCTATGTCACGGTAACTAGCCAAGGAAAGACTTCAGATGTTAAAATCACATTCCAAGATGCAATGAGAAATGGACTGATTGATGAAATTCATGGAACTTTTAAAGAACCTAATAATGGAGAAATAATGCCATTAGAAGAAGCCATAAACAGAGGAATTTTAGGACTAACCTCTGAATGGCCTACTAAATCATCTCAAGAAATACCGAAGAGTCCCACTGAAATACACACTACAAGATTTCACAGAACTACTATAGGAGAATTTTCCACACTTACCCAAAACGATTTATTATTACAAAAGACAGAAAATACTTTAAAAGATTATCCAAGTACACCAAAAGAAAGTCTTAAGAAAGGTTCATCAGCTGTTGAGTCACCCAGAAAAGAAATACCTGGACTTCCCGAATCAAAAGAATCTTCTGGTAAAAAAAGTCTTAAAAGTAGCAAAAAGTCACCTACAAAGGAAATTCCAGAGCCCACAAGACAAGATTCAAGTCCCAAGAAACCTTCTTCCTTTGTCAAACCAGATGAATATCAATTGACAGATGAAAAACTTCAAGATTTTAAGCAAGTAATTAGACATAACACAACAGATGAACTAGTATACCAACAACCACTGTCTATTGATAAACCTGAAACACAATCACCAAAAGAAAAACTTTCTACACCAGCCAAAAAAGAAACTGGTAAAGGAAAGCAACCATCTCCAATAAAAGAAAAACCTGCTAAAGAAAGACAGCCATACTCATCAAAGGAAGAGCCAAGTATGGTGAGGAAGCCATCACCAACAAAGGAAGAACTTACTAGAGAAAGACAACCATCTCCAACAAAGGAAGAACCAACTAAAGAAAGACAGCCATCTCCAATAAAGGAAGAACCTGGTAAAGGAAGGAAACCATCACCAATGAAGGAAGAACCAACTAAAGAAAGACAGCCATCTCCAATAAAGGAAGAACCTGGTAAAGGAAGGAAATCATCACCAATGAAAGAAGAACCTACTAAAGAAAGACAGCCATCTCCAACAAAGGAAGAACCTGGTAAAGAAAGGAAATCATCACCAATGAAAGAAGAACCTACTAAAGAAAGACAGCCATCTCCAACTAAGGAGGGACTTTCTAAAGGAAAGCAACCAACTCAAACAAAGGAAGAACCTAGTAATATAAAGAAATCAGCACCAGAGAAAGAAGAACTTACTAAAGGAAGACAACCATCTCCAAATGAAGAACCAATGCTTACAAAGGAAGAAACTGGAAAAATAAAAAAGCCACATCCAACAAAAGAAGAATCTAGTGTGGGATGGAAGCCATCACCAATAATGGAAGAACCTGGAAAAAAACATCCACCTCCAACAAAAGGAGAATTAGAAAGAAAAGTTACATCTGCAGCTACTGAACTAGAAAGGAAAACTCTTTCTCCAACCAAAGAAATACCAACTAAAAGAAAATCAGAAACAGAGAGAAAATCTTTATCTCCTAATAAAGAGATACCTATAAAGGAAAGCTTTCAATCACCAACTAAGCATGAGCCAGACAGGAAAGTTACGTCTCCAGTTAGAGAACCAGAGAGCAAAACATCTCCTATAAAAGAACCACTAGCTAAAGGAAAGTCTCTATCACCAATTAAAGATGAACCTAACAAAATATTTACATCTCCAGTTAGAGAACCTGAAAGGAAAACATCTCCTACAAAAGAACCACTAGCTAAAGAAAGGACTCCATCACCAACTAAAGAAGAAACTGACAAAATATTCACATCTTCAGTTAAAGAACGAGAAAGAAAATCATCTAAAAAAGAGATACCAACTAAAGGAAGGTCCCCATCACCAACTAAGGAAGAACCTGGCAAAACAATTACATTTCCAGTCAGGGAACCAGAAAGAAAAGCATCTAAAAAAGAGTTACCACTTAAAGGAACGCTTTCATCACCAACTAAAGAAGAACCTGAAAAAATAGTTACATCTCCAATTAAAGAACCAGACAGAAAAATATCTCCTTTAAAAGAACCACTAACTAAAGAAAGGTCTCCCTCGCCAATTAAAGATAAACCAGGCAAAAGAGATACACTTCCAAATAGAGAACCAGAGAGAGAAACATCTCCTACAAAAGAACCACTAACTACTAAAAGAAGGTCCCCATCACCAACTACGGAAGAACCTGAAAAAATAGCTACATCTCCAGTTAAAGAACCAGGGAGAAAAATGTCTCCTTTAAAAGAATCACTAACTAAAGAAAGGTCTCCCTCACCAATTAAGGATAAACCAGGAAAAAAAGTTACACTTCCAAACAGAGAACCAGAGAGAGAAACATCTCCTACAAAAGAACCACTAACTACTAAGAGAAGGTCCCCATCACCAACTAAGGAAGAACCTGAAAAAATAGCTACATCTCCAGTTAAAGAACCAGAGAGAAAAATTTCTTCTAAAAAAGGAAGTTCTCCATCACCAACTAAAGAAGAACCTGAAAAAATAGCTACATCTCCAATTAAAGAACCAGAGAGAAAATTTTCTTCTAAAAAAGGAAGATCTCCATCACCAACTAAAGAAGAACCTGAAAAAATAGCTACATCTCCAATTAAAGAACCAGAGAGAAAAATATCTTCTAAAAAAGGAAGATCTCCATCACCAACTAAAGAAGAACCTGAAAAGATTTTAACTAGCAATGAGGAATCAATAAAAGGGAAATCTCCATTACCTATTAAATATCAACCCATCAAAAAATATTCATCTTCCATTATAGAAACAGAAACAAAGACACCATCAAACAGAAAAGAAATTCTTTTAAATGGTAGAATTCCTTCACCAGTTAAAGTAGAACCAGAGAAAAATACAGTGTCATCTACTAGAGATATTAGTGTAGAATGTTCAAAAATTGAGAGATTTGAACAAAAATCAGAAACTAGTCATTTAGTGTATACAAATGGAATCAAAGAAACAACAATGACATCATTAATAACTAAAAATGTTGAAACCTTTGAAGTACCACCAGATGGATGGTTCCTAAAAGAAGCTATTGACCAGAAGCTATTTGATGCAGATACAGGATTATTTACAGTACCAGGAACAGACAGATTAGTATCTTTTGAAGAAACCATAAGGATGGAGATCATCAATCCAAAATCTGCCATAGTTGTGGAACCCTCATCTAAACATACAGTTTCATTACTCAGATCTTTGGAAAAGGGGATACTAGACCCCACTGGTCATTATATAGACAGCAAAACTAAGAAAAAAATTACAATGAAAGAAGCCATTAAGAAAAAATGTGTGATCCTTGAAGAAAGGATTAATGTTGTTCAAGTGACTCAACAGAGAACCAAAATGATCCATATTACACAAATGGATGGCCAGTCTGACAAGGTGACAGTGATATCAGAAGAAGGGTTGGATAAACCTGTTCTCACTCAGTGGGAGCCAGAGATTTTGTCAGATACAAGTGGTTTTTTAAAGGTAAGAAAACATTATTTGTGTTATAACCACTAAATACATAGAAATAAGCCCAAATATTTACTTTGAAACAGGATAAGTAGAAATCCTTGATAAAACTAATGGGGACAAATTAAAACTGATCACAGCAATAAAGCTAAGTCGAACTGATAGTACATCATTTATTGTTCAAGAACCAAGAACAGGTAAGAATGTTTTCTTAGGTGAGGCTGTTGTAAATATATGTACAGGGGATTATAATGATAATATATTAGGTTGAAAAATTCCAATTAAGGAGGCAGTTAGAGATGTATTAATAAAGTTTACTTACTACTGGAGTTAAAATTAAATTTAAAAAATGAAGGTATTTCATAGCTAACATAGAAGCAGGTGTTATTCAGATAAAGATAGTTGGCTCTCATATAGGAAAGGACATTCCTTTAGCTGAAGCCATTAATAAAGGACTTTTAGATTCTGATTCTGTTAAATATTTTGTACAGAAGGATAACCTGAAAGGTCAAACCAATATATCTGAAGAAGTCATCAAAAATAATATGGCAACAATCTTGCATATGCAAGATTCTAGAGCATCAAATAGATGTTGACAAAGGTAACTCATTGAGAAAGGCTTCAAATGTTCCAGAAAAAGGTGTGCAAACAACAAGAATTATGATTAAAGACTATTACTGGAGATACCATTCCTTTGGAGACTGCAGTGAAGAAAGGCTTGATCGATTCTAAAACTGTTGGAAAAATCCATCAAGGTGAAATCACAGAAATCATCATCACTGCCACTGATCCTGCTACAGGACATAAAGTGCCTTATGATGAACCTGTGAAAAAAAAGACACCCATAAAAGTTCCAAGCCAAAAGACAATCAACTTTCAAAGTCTCTTTGAAAGATATCTAAAGGGTCATTCAGTGAACCATAATTTGAGGTCACATTTGGCAGAGCACAATCACAAGAGTCCATTCAAACAGAAGGTATGGTACTGTAAAACATTTGCTGAAAAATTATATCTTGTACAGAAGTATCCAAACACGGGATATTGGACAGCAACAAAGAAAAATACTGAGAGGATAAATTCACAAATAAATCTGTCAATGTACCTACAGCAAATAAGCCAGTAACACAATTTAAAGGTGAATTTTCCTCATTAAAAAAAAGATAATTTCTCTCCTGAATATAATGTAGAATTTGTTAAATTGTCACAGAAACATACATAAAATTTAAGAGAGACTTTCAGACTCCAGTTTTCATAAGACACTATTTATCCTTGTCTGAAACTGTTGACAATGGATTAATAAGTCTTGACACCACATATATTTCCAATACTATTACAAAAACACAGGTTCAAGATATACAGAAACTATTGCTCCAGAAGATTCTGTTGTTGAAATTCTTAGCAAAACAGAAGTTATTGTGGTGGAATGTTTTCGTCTATCAAATGATGTATTATCTTACATTGATAGATGTCAAGTTCAGTTATAACGAAGCTTCATTCCTATGGGAACTTTAACAACTAGCTTGGAAGAATTTGTAAGGGCTATAGTCACATAGTTATGGTTTAAAAGTATAGAAAGTTTACTACCAATTTGCTATCATGTGATCTCAGGAGTCCGAGGGAGAAACACTATTTATAATGTAAACGCCGACATGTTTCGATCCCCTACGGGGTCCGGCACCACAGGTTAAGAAACACTGCCTTAAAGGAAGGCATTACAATCAGGATGATGGATTATCAAGCAAGAACACTTACATATCCAAGTTTAATGGCTTTGGATATTGCTATGCTGGAGGACGTTCTGATAACCACAAGGTCCCAGGGAACTTCAAACGTCTCTTGAACATCATATGTATGACATAGAAACTAGTTTGATGAAAGAGTCATTTCAAAACAAATAGTTAGATGTAGGTGGACTGACAAAGAAGCTTTAACAGTGAAAGAGCCCCACATTCTTGTGACTTACTACCTCTCATAGATACCATCAATGCAGTCATTACTGATCCATTGTGTGGAGTAGTTACTGACCCAGTTGGGCTCTGAGATACATTGATTTAATGGTTTGGAGAGAAGTCTCACCATACCAGCAAATAATAGATGAAGTTTACAGTCTTTCAAAGACAACCTCTTCACCCTGTTTCAAGCTATTGAATATGAAATAACTGATACTATAATAAAGACCCTAATCCTAATGGCCAGGAAAGTGCCATCTTTTATACAAAGAGCCAGTATTACATCAATCTTATGTAGGCACAAACTAGGGTAAGACTTTGAAAAGTCCCAGCATCACTTTGTGTTGGAAATTGCATAAATTTGTCCTAGGGCTTTGAAAGGCTACTTATGTCTGGGCTGTGATTTGTTACATTCAAATATAGGTGTTTTTTGTTCTCTACCATGAAAGAGATTTGTGTTGATAATAGTTTTCTTGAATTTCTATCATTGCTTATCCTAACTACTTTAACTCTAAACACAACTGTGCTGATCGTTTCTGCCTTGAAGCTCTTCCATTGCTTACATTATTTTTTCTGGCATGTTTGTTACAGACATTATGTAGCTTAACTGTTCAGCATAACTATTTGACCTAGCTTGGTATTTGTAAAGCTAACAGTAAGAGACTTATTGAAGGATGGTTAGCAACATTTAACACTGACTAATTTAGTGACTTCTCTTTCTAGTAGATTACTTGATTCAGCCTTCCCTTGTTGCACAAGTATCTTGTATAGATCCTTTAACTTTAGAGAAGATCCACAATATAATATTCTGGAACCTTTCCTGTTGTAATAGGACTCCTAAATAACAATATTTTTAATGTAACATAATAGATATAGGAATTAAAAATCATTTAGTAAAGAAACAATTTGTTTATTTCTGAATTATTTTGGTTTCACTTTCTTCATTTTAATTGTTTATCCAAGTTGCTTGTATGGTGCTTTACCTTGAAACAACAACATCAGCCAAAACATTGGAATATTAAACATGCCTGGAATTGGTGTTGTTGTTGTTGTAATTTTAATTTAAACAACAACATCAGCCAAAACATTGGAATATTAAATATTTCTGGAATTGGTGTTGTTGTTGTAATTTTTCTTTAAACAACAGCATCAGCCAAAACATTAGAATATTAAACATGTCTGGAATTGGTGGTGGCGGTGTAATTTTTCGTTGATCGTACAAGAGATTTATTGATATTGGTTATGTTTTATCACAGATCTTAACTGCTTTTGTTTCTTCTTCTTAAGTTAGTAATATTTTAGACTGCTTGTGATATCACATCCCTGACTTAATAAACTTTTTGATAGTTTCAATAGGAAGAGTCAGTAAAATCTGCATTACTTACCAGCTTTATTTTTATTCACCCAAAGACTGCAGTTGAGGAGAAATACAAGTTGTCTGGAGACAACATTTTGAAATTACTGAGGTGGATTGAGGAAGTTGAAGAACGACTGGCTAATCTGGAGCAGGTGCAGGAGAATATTACGGAGTTACAGAAACAGGCTGCTAGGGCTAGGGTATGTTGTTATGTGTAGTAAATTAGTTATGAAAGTAACAGAAATTTTATTTTGCTGAATTATAAACAATATGATAACATTTTGTGAAATCAAGTTTCATATTAATTTAGTCTTTAGCAGACAAAAGTATAATTAAAGTAATAATAGTTGGGTAAATCACATGATGCATAATTATTGAACCTCAGTCATTTTGAGAGAATCTGTAATAAACTTTAACAATCTAAAGTATTTTAAATTACAAATCTGTAATAAAGGATATCAAGGATGACCTCGACGATCATCAGAGGCCTGTGACCACCTGTCTGGACAAGGTTCGGCAGATTGTAGAACAGGGAGGGGAAGTTTTAAGTAAGGATGAGGTTGAACAATTACAGAAAGATTCTTATGAGCTGAAGAAACGTTATGACAAGACATGTGAAGAGAGTGAAAAGCTGCTGCGTCATCTTTTCTCAACTCAGGAACAGCTGGAAAAGTTTAATGTAAGCTTATGTCCTGAAAAGCTTATAAGTTTTACTGTTTTACAGTAACATTTTTAATGTTCTACAATATACAGCATCTTGTAGCATTTATTTTTGTAAATCTTTTTAGAATAATTCTTTATGTAAACCCAATTTATAAGAATTCAGTTTTTATACATTATTGTTAAGGTAATAATTTTTTCAAAGTTTTCTTTTTATGAACAGTTCTATTTCATTTGTTTGTTTCTGATTTAATGAATTGCTAATTTGAGATTCCGATAATTACAATTTCAATGTCATTAAGTAAATACTGCTCGACTGGTTATAAATTGGTGCTAGATTAAGATCCTAGTAATTATAATTTCAATTTGATTAAAGTATTCTACTCACTTGATTACTTTTTTAACTTTTTGCTTGATTTAGCCATTTACCTGTATAAAAATGTTGGAAATTAAATAATGAATTGATTAGATTATTCACTTTTTTTTTGCTGACTTACTTATAGAAAGTGTTTCGGTTAACTCAAGATGCTGTTTAATCTTTCCAGATGGAGCTTCTCACTTTCAGAGAGTGGTTGAATGAAGCTGAACGGAAGCTGGAAGAACAAGAGAAAAACTTGAGTAAGGTGGACAATGCCAAAGAAACTTTCAAAGTAAGTGACAATGTTTAATAATGTTCAGATTGATTAGTCTTATTGTGGTTTAAATATCAGTAATAATATTGTTAATGAAAAACTATTTGCATCATAAACAGGCATTTACCAATGATGTCATTGCTCATCAGGCTGATCTTCGTTTTATTACCATGATTGCCCAGAAGTTTGTTAATGAATCAAAGGTAAGAAATATGACAGTCCTTTAAATATTGCTTTAAAGTATATTGTGTTCATTCTGTTAACGGAGATTAGAATTTTACATCATGGGCACAGAATTACAAATCTATAATTGAAAATTAAATAGGCTTCACTGAAATTTAGGAAAAGTTATAATTTTAGTTGAAATTGACAAAGAGAGAGAGAAAATACTGTATGAATTGAGATTACGTCTTTGTCTTGATCTTACTTTAAGGAGTACTTGAAGATTTTGAATAATTTTCGAACCAACCTTCCCCAACGAAGGGCTTACATTGAGCCTAAGGAAAATGAAGTAAAGGCTCTGGTCAATAGAGTTGGCACAACTTACCATAACCTTCTCAATCGAGTCAACCATCTCAATGAGAAGTTCTCACGGGTAATAGAAAAACAGCAATATTACAGTGAGTGCTTGGAAAAAGTTACAGTCTGGCTCCAGGACATGAAGAAGACTTCGAGAATGTTGTTAGACGAACCCATTGCAGCAGATCCAGGGGTAATGCAGGACCAACTGGACAAAATTAAGAAAATCAGCCTGGACATTGTTGGTCAAAGCCAATTTATTGAGAATGCTAAACAGTCAGGAAAGGCCTTGTTAAACTTTCTAGAAGGAACAGAAGTCAGCATCATTGAAGAGACCCTAAAGACTTTGGAAGATGAATATTATACCCTAAGCAATGAAACCAGTGAAAAGTGTAATGAGCTTCAGACAACTTTGGTCCAATCACAGGACATCCAAGATGGCTTGGACCGTCTAATCAAATGGCTAGATGAGGCTGAGAGTACCTTTCGTGCTCAGAACAAGGCTATCAGTCTGTTCCGTGAGAGACTGGATGAACAGGTTTGTTACTTTCTTAATTTACGGCATAATTATATGATTAATACCCTATAGAGGTACATGACTAGGCCTAAAAACCTGTGTATTATGATTTTTTGTATTAAGTCTAAAAATTTCATAAAAGTCTATACGTCTTTCATCTTACTAATTCATAAAGTATCTTCAACTTCTCCTTTACTTCACATTTTTCAACAAACCTTCGTTTAATAAGTTGAGTAATTCTTGTACTTTCACCTGTAATAAAATATTTCTGGTCTTTCCACCAGCTAAGAGAATACAAAGTACTTCAAACAGACATAGACACTCAGAAGCCAAGCATCAATGCTGTTACAGACTCAGCCAAAAACTTTACTGATAGTTCCAACCAAAGACTTGCTAAGAAGGTGGAAACTAAAGTGAAAGACATCAACACTCGATTTGACAAACTCTGTGAGAAATCTAGTAAACGAGGAGAGTTGATAGATGAGGTAAGACAGTTCAATATGGCTGCTTAAGATTTTTCTTGTAATTTTACCATAATTCTATTAATTGTTTCTTAACATTATTTGTATGCTTTTGAGTTAAGTCTGTTTTGATTATTTGATATATTATTGATAGTTTTCATATATTTTGTACAGTTGTTTACCAATATTTATCATGAAATTTTAGAGTTTGTGGTTATTAATTTTCTTGTTAACTGAAGATGCTTCTGTTTGGTTGTCATTCATTAATATTTCTTGAATATTTCAGATCAACCACTTAGTTGTTCCTTATATTTAGTTCACATGGTTTTAATACAAATCACAATACTTCTGTTTTATTAGTAAAAACTTTTTCTTGTATTTTTAAAATATATTTTCATAAATATTTATCAGATATTTTTGGCAACCTTTTTAAATTTCTAATGATAATTACAATTAATGATAGTAGCCTTAATTATGAGTAACAGACAAACCTCTATGGCCACTGCCTGAGATTACTGATTTGGTACCCTCACTGTTTGTGACCATCAATTTGGTTTTATTGATTATGATAAATTTTTTAAGTGTTTGAGATAGTTCTAGTTAATCGTTTAGGAATTTCCTGAAGGTTTCTGACATCTTTACTTAGTCAATTAATATTAACTTCTGATCAAAGCTAGCTACCTACATATATCAGAACTACATATATACCCAGCAATGAGGATAATTATAATTAAAATATATTTTTTGGCTGTAAACCCAATAATATTCAGTAGGGTTTGGTCAGCCCAAAATTGATGTACTAAGCTAACAATGTAGAATAATCATTATAATAAATATAAGTTTATCAAGCTTTCTTGTAATTTTCAGATAGCTAGTTAGTTTTTAAATAATTCCTTTAATGTTTTTGATGTTGTTACTTAGCATTCTGTATAGTTTTCTTGTAGTTTGTAAATACTTGTCAGTTGATTTTGAATTTCAAAGTTTATTGTTATTTTAGGTTGTAACAATGTTAACAACATATGACGTGATGATTGTTCAGTTTGAAGAGTGGATTCAAGGAATAATAGAAACTATTGAAAGTAGAGAATTAATGCAACTTGGTATTGAGGAATATTATTCTCGAATTGAGGAAGTGATGAACATGAGAAATGTCAAGAAGGAGGACTTTGAAGAGGTAATAAAAATAGGTAAAACTCTGGTTTCTAAGAAGGATGTTACAGATACTACTCCAATAAAAGATAAAATAAAGTATCTTGAACAGCAGTGGAAAGACCTGGGAGACAAACTTGTTGACAAACAGCAAGCAGGCAAGAACCGTGCTCAACAATTATCTGCATATGAAACTTTAAGGATTAAAATCTTAGAATGGCTAATCAACATAGAGAATCGTGTGGAGAAGTTGGATGTTGTAGCGATAGACAAAGATGTTCTCCAGCGGCAGGCTACAGAAGTGAAGGTGAGTATCATTATTTCACGCTTAGATTTCTGTTTACTGAATGTAGAAACATAGTTACCATTAAAAATTTTAATAAATTTATATTGTTTTATTACTTTATAATATCATACTGTTTTTTTAAAGTGATTTGAAACAAGTGAAATGTGATTTTAATGAATGATGTGAACAACTTACAAACTGAAGAGTAATTTTCAAGCTTCATCTTTTTTGTATGTTCTACCAGCTTCTCATTAAAGAACATACAGACTATGGAACAACCATTGACAAGGTGAATGATTTAGGTAATTCTTATGATGCTATTCTCCATGGGAATCAAGGAGACAGCCAATTTCGACGTTCAGGTAGCCCCACCAAAAAGACATCTTCTTCCCCAGTGGTGGCTCCCTCTAGTCCAATAAAGAAGTCACCAACTAGTGAGTACACAGGTAGTATTGATGCTTTGGTGGCATGCCATTAATCCTATACTTTGTCTGCTATATTAAGTAATAATAAACAACTGTTCTTGTAGCATTAAAAAAACAGGTCTGGTGATGTTATTATAGCCTTTTAATTTATTAACAAATTAGGAAAAGGCCACAAGGATTAGAAATTTTATATTAAAGAAGGTTTTAAAATATCTGGTATCAAGACCATATCAATTTGTATTTATATTTACAGTATACTAAAACAAATATGGGGCTTTGGTTCTCACTAATACTTGTAATGTTAATGACAAAATTACCAGTTTTAATGTAGTGATTCTTCTGGTGAGGACTAACTGTGGATCTCCTTTCCTTTACACTGCAAGCCATAAAGCTCAGCAATATTTTTAATAATCTTCTCTAAATAATCTGTTTGTATTAGGAATTGTACTTATTTCATGACATAATCAATTTGTTCACATTTAAAAACTCTTAATCCTCTGGTCTACAAATCTAACATTGATATCATATTTAATTAGTCAAGAGGTGAAACATTATACAGTTCTTGACTAAAAGTTCAACACAGTCAACAGTTACAATGATTTAAAGAATAATAGTTTTATCATCTACCACGCTTTGAAAGTCTAAATTCATGACAGTGTACTGATTTTGTGACACTTGCATCTTATTTACTGGCATTAATCAGTAATTCAGATTTTCTAGGTATAAATCCATTTTTGAGAGTTTACAGGAAGAGTTAAGTTATTTTTCTCATTTACAGAAGGTTTCCTCTCTTATCTAAAAAGTTTTTTCTCTTTTGTTTTGACCTTTCGTATTTTCTTGATCAACTTAGAAATACATTGAGGTAAAAATATTAGTTTCATATTGTAAATCAAGGAGAACCTTAAAACACTACAGCTTCCACAACAAAGCACTTACTAACTGCTTGTTTTTTCCAAGCTACATTTCTAGTGCACTACCAACTTATGAAGTTACCCTATGTGCCTGATTGATTATATCTGTACTTAATTTGTCAAGAAGTAACATAATATAGTTAAATCCTTAATCCCTTTAGTTTATTACTAAAACTATAACTGCTTAATCTGTCAAGAAGTAACATATAAGTAAGTTGTTCGTGAAATACTAAAGGCAAAAACAAAAGAGACAAAATGTTTTATATCAAAGAGCAAACCTCTGTAAATCTTCAAAATATATACATGTATGTTAGTTTTACGCTGCCTGAATATGGTTGAAAAATAAAATCAGTTATACATTTAGTAAATATGAATTACTCATTAGCTCCTGTACATAAAATATATTGTTATCATGAAGAAACACATTATATCTAAATACACTGTTATCATGAAAAAACAAATTATATCTAAAAATAT